AAATGTAAAACGCCTGAATGCACAGCAAATACATGACATTTTGATAGTATTTTTTATGTGCGGTAGAATTGGTCCATTATGATTACTATTATTATTTGAGCTGCAATCAGAAATATGATGTGAAGTAATTTATCAGAAGACAATCCATTAATTGTCATTTATCTTTGTGAATCAATTTTACAAAATGTGATGCGAGCAGTTTTAAAATTTACGAATGGACCTGCATCAGAGGTTTCGAATTTGATCTCGCTTCGAGCAACCTGTTGTCAAGCAGTAGTGGCAACAATTTTCACTTGGAAATAATGAATATAATTTAATTTTATATGGAGTATAACATTTAAGACAACAATAAAATCAATAACTGATCAATTTTGATCTATGAGTAGATAATGCTGAATAAATTATTAATAAAAACAGTTGACTACAGAAATTGAACTTTTATTTCTATACAGTTTACTGCTTCCATAGATTAATATTTATAAAAGGAGTGATTTATATCGAATTCTTGATAGTTAATAATTCTAAATTAATAAATTTTTTGCAGTAAATTTAAATTTAATTTGTGCTATTAATATCGTTTATTAATTTACTATTAAATAATTTAGTATATGAATGCATTTCGTGATTATTAATCTGGAGTTACTATAAACGACAAAATTAATTATTGTTAATTAGGTGACAAAAATAAAACATTATCGTACAAATTGATGAAATAATACGATTCATTCATGAATAAAAATAATTTAATTTGATTTATGCAATACATATTATAGCTAGTGTACTACAATTAAGAAATTGAAATGTAAAAATAAAAGAAAATTATAGATTAAATATATTTTTATAAGTAAAAATAGAACCTCGCCACTACTCCTCAAAATATGCAATGATTTTATTGACAAATTTATGTAAAAATAAATTATGAGAATGTCAGTGAATGAAAAATATATTGGTTAAGATAAAATTTCGATAAATATATAAAACGTCCTTATATTACATAAAGTAATGTAGATGATTTAATGCTCTAGCAAGTCCACTAAAAAAGCTAAAAAGTATATTACGAAGCATTATGATGTAGAATTTTTTCAAGTTTGAATAAAAATATGATGTATTTTTTAATACCGTATGAGTGTGAAAGCAGCCTTATAGTGCATTAGGGTAATGTATGAGCATGAATAGCGGTTTCTAGTCGGTTTTCGTGTCTGGCAGCGCGAACAGGTCTGTTATGAAAACTAACAAATTACCTACGAGTATGAAAAATTATACCTCTGGAAGTAAAAGCGCAAATTTTCGGATCACGTTGAATTATTCAATCTCATAATTTATTACTCTTGTAATTCTTTGAATAATTTATCAGCGTGGCAAGTATAAAACTTACACACCTTATGAATAACTTTAGCCAATTAAATTCTGCTTTTTCTGCATACAAGACCTTTTAAAACTGCTGTTTTAATTTCAAAGTTACTAAGAACATATGATAATATGTTGCACATTTCCATACTAACCATTAAATATGTATGATAAAATCTGTTACTACAAATCATTTATAATAAATTAATTGATCGGACCCAACTCTAGGCTTTTAATGCAAACATTTATTATACTTTTATCATTTTTCACTCGGGTAATAAAAAACAGCCATCGCAAACATCGTCCATTGAAATAAAAATAATATTTTATTTAATCCAGACATATCCAGCAGATCCAAAGCAATTAATCATTTTTACGTTCGAATGCTTTCAGTTTTTGTACGCTTTTTTTTTATCAAAACATTGTAATAATTTATGTATAGTATGACTGCGTGTGATCATAATATGATACATTAGTCAACTTGAAATAAATTTATGCTGTTAATGAATAATTACGGTAATTGATAACTTGTTATAAAAATGCATGCAGAATGATTTAAAAATTGACTTACTATTTGCAAATGTGCTTGTGCCATGTTCAATCTTGTTTTAATTAACAGATGACTATTCTATCACACCTACTATCACTAACACCGCACTGAAATAGTTTTCAATTAACAATCCAACAATTTTTGCTTCTCTCATTTTTATTTGTGTCCAGTTCATAACTTACATGGTTCTATCAATTACTCATTGAATAAAATCTTTGTGGACCGTACAAATCATATTGCAACAATAAATATGTATCAATGGTAGTTAATACAAAGTATAATTTCAATGTATGTGGAACAAAATTGCGCAACAAAAATATTCCCGAACGATCAACATTTTGTCAATTCAATCATGGTGGAAAAATGACCGACAGGTTCCACCCGGCCACATCAAACAAAACTTGTAATACGTTCATAAGTTTATTCATATCTATAAACGACTACTTCACTTACATATATTGCACTAAAAACCATTTGAATAAAGACGATTTATACTTAAATAAAATACACTATACTATTGGATAGTGTATTTCATGATACAGGCCACAAACCCTTCACCATTTGCATAAAGAATGACATACGCCATGGCACCACATTCTTGTATCAAACTTCCTGTGACAATAAAGGCAACCTTGAAATATTAAAATGAATATTTTGGTTTTGGTTCTGGCAAACCTCAAGGCAATTTGTTGTATGCCATCTTTAGACAAAACTTGGAGCATATGCACATAATACTTCTTGCATGCACATTAATACAAAATGTAAACAATGACTAATACATCAGTTCTGTGCACTGACAGTAGAACATGGAGTTTGTTACTTTATAATTATTGTATTTGAATATAAATCTGAAATTAAGTTTCTCTGATCAGTTGTGATGATACTTCTTCTAATAGTCGCTTTTTCAGAAAACAACTCAAGTCCTATCTATTTTGATGTAGATATTTTATATTACCAGCCACACATAATCCAAGTAAACTTTCGAATAGTGATGGTATATTTTAAGTTATTGCTAGGAAGGGCTATTCTAGATCGGAAACATATGTTGATATATATTTTCATGCAAAAATGTATATTAATATTGCCTGCTATTAGGCTGTCCGTGGACTCAAGACTGCAAAAGCCAGAAGTTTACAGCTGGGAAACAGCCTCAAATTTGTTTTAAGATTGCAAAATTAATACATTTTTATGGCATATTTTTTGTAACAAGTTCTACATAATTGGCATTCGACTTAACACACACACACACACATTCATTCTTTCTGAGGTGTGCCAAAGTGCTTAGTAATCCCAGAAACGTGAAGATATGCAAAAAAATTTATTTTCATATTTTCGGCCCATAACTATAGCTATAGATGCACTTTTCCACAGTTAAATTATATATATATATATATATATATATATATATATATATAAGTTTTCTTAATATCTTTGAGAATGACTGGTTCAATAAATAAATCATTATTTCGAATTCTTTTATTCAATATAATGAAATGTATACGCTTGATACGATACAATAATAATAAATAACAAAAGAAGCATCATTAATAACGTAACATCAGGAGAGACTACTAATGGTATAATTTAGTTCGTGATTATTATGCGTATATAAAAAATTATAATCTAAAGCAACTTTTGGGTTCCTACAATTCATTGTATACAATTATGAAAGTTGCCTTGTCATTTCCTATTAATCAATCGGTGAATATAATAGTAACTGAATCACTTTTTAACCACCATCATTAAGTGATTCATTCTAATATTATCTGGCGTACAGTTACATCGTTTATTTGATAAAAAAATTTCATCCAACAGAAATATATAAGTTAAGGTATACTATTCTATCATACCAACTTCTGTAAATTTCTTATTTAAATTAATTAAAAATTCTCTTCAATACTGTTTTATTTTATTACATTATAAAAAAATATATCAAGAGATTAAAATTCATAAATTCCCTAATCATTCTATAATAAATTCAAACATGTGCATTGAGCATTGAGCACATAAAACCAATGTGTGATACGGTGTCCATAAAATGTGACTTAATTGCATAAAAAATATAGTTTATGGGAAATTTCAGAAGCAAACATAAAATTCAAAAATTTACATAATCAGTCATAAATTTATATACGCGCATTAAGGAATCGTAAAACGAACACTATAACTGTGAAATCGGCATACCATGAAATTTTGAATCGTGAGATCATGGTTTTATGATTTTATTGACCAAAAAGTTAATGGGAAAAAGGATAAGAATTGTAATAATATCATTAAAAAATCTATGTTACAACTCAAGGCTTAGTTATGGGTAGAGTGATTGGACTTGGGGTATAGATCCCGAGCTCAATCCCGCTTCGGAGAGCCTGATGTCAAGCAGTAGTAACACCGGTTTTTACTTAAAATATTAGATAGCAATAATTTCCAAGTAAAAATAGCTTTTCTCGGGATTTGCTGCATCAATAAAGTAAGGGCCTATTACAGAAATTGTAACAATAGAATTTATCACACAGAAATGAGACAATGCTTGGGTTGCCATCAATTTACAACTTACAGTAAGTTTGCCTACATTACCAATATTTTGTATTCAATTTTATTTCAACATGTTTTCAAATATTTTTATTAATAATACCCACGTATGATACAATCTGTAACTTTTAATTAAATCTCCTAACAATGTTGGCTGTTTCGTCATATTTATAAATAATATATTTTACATCAGTTTTTAGAACGTATCAAACAAACGCATTGTTTGAACTGTAAAACTACGTTCATAAAAAACTTTTATGTGCATGTGATCGTAAATAATACGTATGTACCATATATTTTATGGTCTCTAAAATACACATTTGTGTATTGCATAAATTTAACATCATAAAATGTGTTGCGGATACTATAATGAAATTATTTCACATTTTTATGCCAGAAATTAAAATATTTTTAAACAGCGGAAAAAAACACAAGTAGTTAAAAGAAATGTTAATTGGGTAATTGAAAAAAAAAGTAGGATGCAATTGGAATTCAAAATTAATAAATTGATATTCACATAAGTAAGAAATAGTCATAAAATCTTGTATCTAAAAATGATTATTTCCATTTTATATCAAGGTTCTAAAATTATAGACAAAAGAAAATTTTCCTGGTCTTCTTTATATCTTGCCCTGTACAGAAACTCTGCAGCTTCAGGGTCAACTTTCAAAGCATACCTCATAGCTGCTTTTTGAGCTAAATCAATTGATCGTAAGATTTCCAACAGCTTCTGAACTCGATTGTCTTCTAAAATGGGTTGGAAAAACTGTAAACAATTATCTACGATATCCATATCTGTATATCCTCTCGAATATTGGTGCCATTGTGGCACTGACGGAGAACTGTCGCAAATATCTTCCAATTGGTCTGTGGATGAATCTGAAAATTTTAAAAATATAACTATCGATATTTCAGCCTTTTTTGTAATAAAAATTCAGCGGATCAAACAAAACCAAACATTTTTTGCATCTGTACGATTGTGAAATAAATTTATGTTATCAAGTTTTGAAGGAAATGGTAAACTGGATTAGTCTTACCACATTTCAGATTATAACCTATTATTTATTTTTCTTATTAAGTTGTTTATTTGCCTATGCCAAAAGCTGACAACAAACGTTTTCTCATTGCAGGCGAAAAAACATTATCTTCTTTACCATCCTGATTGTAGTTTTCGCTCTCACGATCTTTGCGGCTGGTTGGACCCCTTGCATTTGCCTCTAAAATTCGTCTCGCCTGGACTCTACCGAAAATTGCCAACGTTTGCAATATAAGTCTAATATATTAATTTAATATTTCTTTTTGATGACATTAAATTACTAAATAAAATTAAAGTGTATTTTATACCTAGATGATGATATGCAGTTGAGAAAATGCTGATCTACCTCAGGAAGACGATCCAGCAATCGACTTATGATGTGTCTTAAAAAATAAGCAGTTAAATTATAATATTAAAAAAGCGTTCTGTTTTTATAAACTTACCCCAAATATGGTAAATACGGTGCCGTTCTAGATGCTAAGTGGAAAGCTCTTTGATATCCTGGCAAACGTGGATCGCGATAAAGCTTGCACAACTTTTCAAATATATCGTGCATCTGGGCGTGCTTTTTTCGTACATGGGCCCAAGTCTTTCGCAACCTAAAATAGCATCAACATTATAAATTGAAACAAAAACACGATCAAGTTACCAGCCAATATACCTGTAACATGGTGGACTTTGAAGACCAGCAAGTACATTATAGCAACTTTGGAAATTGTGGATCTGATGGCATTTCTCTGCTGTGTATATAAATCTTGCTATCAATCGAGCTCGTCTAAAACCAAAGAAAGATAAATATCATATAGCTTTAATTGTTTTATATTGACTTACCTTCTTAAATCATCTTCGGCAACAATGGAAGTTGTGACAAGGCATGACACTCGATGTCCAAACGCAATAATCGCGATCAAATTTGGAGAATGTCTTGAAGTCTGTGTCCATACAACATTAGCAATCTCTCTGCGGTAAATCAAAATTTATTACCAAAAACTACTAAAACAGTTCTGATATTTTTAGTATACCTTGGCGTGAGTTGTAAAAATAATTTTCTGTCCGTCATTGTTAATTGATATGCTAGCATAGTTGAATCAAAATTCCAGGCGTTAAATGGTTTTCTCACTTTCAAGGCTTTCCTAATTGCAGCGCATGGATCTTGCTTTTTTCTCTTTTTAGATGATTTCCGTGGCTGATCCCCTATCACCTCTGCAGATGGAACAAAACATCCAGCAGACAACTTGGAATTAACCTTGGTTCGCGCGAAACAAAATAGCGAAATCAACTATAATGAACCGCGGACAGAAAAAATGTTCCATTTCGGATATATTTTATTCTAAGGTATTTCATTATTATTATGTAATATATAAAAATATCTCTGTATGTAACTAAATGAATTCAATAATCATTACCTTTTTAAGAGTCTTGTCTTCCATCGTGAGAAGGTCTGAAGAACTTTGATTTTCATTTCTACCAGAGTTCCATTTCTGATTGCATTTTTTTACTTTTGGTTTGGATTTAAAATAGTTGCCTAATACTGCTTTTGTTCTATTGGAACGCTTTTGTAATAGGTGCGGCAGTACTCCCAAATACTGTCTTTGTTCTCGGTAAGCTTCGTGAGCTCTTCTTGGACGATACCTGTTAATATAGAATATTGAACTAAACTAAACAAATTCAGTCATCACACATTAGGTGTCATATTATTCTTTTGAAATTTACTGCAATGAGCCATTTGTTTTAATAAAAGATATAAAGTTCCAAAAACGTGCTAGCACTCGTAATTTTATTATTCAAGAATTCAGTAAGTAGTTATGTTCATATACAAATTCAGATTCACTTCAACATTTAACTTTACCATAAGTCTGTTGTCCAAAAGAGAAGTGCAGGTTCTGATTGTACAGCAAATCTAACACTGGTACCCCCGCAATCACCGTTTAGACGACCGAGATTCTCATCAGATATACTAGCAGTTAATAAACGACGTGGAAGAGATGGCAATAAATTTGGATCAACGTTAGCAGCACCACAAATTCGGACGCACGATACTGCTCGTTTCACCTAAGGTAAAGGACCCAGAAACAAATTTTGGTACCATCTGATACATCACTTAGTATTTAACTATAATTTCTATAATAAATTGAACGGTAAGCAAAACTACTCTCAGTATTCAAGGCATTGTGTGAAGTAGTTTTCCACCACCTAGCTTTTTTGGTAAATAGTAGTCACTTTTACATTATGATGAAATTATTAGATATTTCTAATAGTGTGTGATATATTGCCGCATGCACAGAAAAAGTAATACATCGATTATATATTACATCGGTTTGAGTAAAAGCGGATATCCCTACTTGGTGTCACCTAGTATGAGCCACTTGCACTACACACTCTCATTCGATTTTCATTCCATCTAATTTATTAACATTTATAATATGTCAGGTAAGTTCATAAATCGTACCTGAAGAGAATAACGTTCTCCTTGTGATAACGTCCATGGACCTAAGCCACTTAACAAATGAGGTTTAGGAATGAGAGCATATCTCCTTTTGTGTCTAGTTAATCTCGACCTATAATATTATTAAAAATAATTGTAAGAAATAAATATTAACTCTAGGTCAAAATTAATGCACTCTATTTATTTTTTAAATTTGTTTATACCTGCATCTGGAAATTCGAGCAGCTTCTTCCCATAAATCAACTGCTAAGTCTGCTATCTCAGCCGGTTCTAGATCAGGAGGGCAAGGTGGTGCCAATGGTGCCAAATGGCGCAACGTGTTCGGATTACGTGGAGTTTGTAACAATGAATGTCGCTCAACTGGTGGCGGATCAACTGATAAACGTAACCCACTTGAACATTGATCGCTTACACCCTGAAACGAAACACTAAAGCCATAAAAACTACAAAAGATTTTTTAGTGATACATATGGAAATGATAATTTAAATAAATTTTCTAATACAAAATCATCATTATGCACGTTAAGCGCATCTCTTGTCGGGGGGATTCTTGTGACTTTCCTTTTATTTTTAGATAAGTACTTTTACTTCCTGCTTTCTGCTAATTATTTATAGCTCTTTACAACTTAACAATTTTACATACAAGTAAATATGTGCAAACAAGAAATTTGTACAAAACGTATTTTTTGATAATTTAAATTTTTGTTACGTAATTTGTGCAAGATATGAAATTATACAAAATAGGAGATTATATTATTGAAGTGAAACTTCTTTGGACGCGATTAGGGTGTAAATCCGTACAAATCGATAATTTCTATACAGGTCGATTGTGATTAGTCGTCGTGTATGTGAAAAGAGATCTGTCGTTGTATGGGTACCGGCATCAACGTTGTATGCGTACCGATATCAACACGGAAATCGGCATAGATAAATAAACATTTCAAAGTTACATCGTAGTACAAATCTTGATTTATTGAAAAATGCCTGAATCAGAAGAATATTTTACCCTGTTCTTCGAAAATTATAAAACAAATTGTACATTTGTGCCGTGTACTAAACATAAGTTTATTGATTAGAAATTATTTCTATATTATTCGTAGTTTCTATAAATCTTTGAATGGCAAAAACCGATCATGTCATATTTGAAGTTTGACTTTAATTACATTATTGTTTTTAAATCTTATACATATTTTTAATGTTATTATAAACATATAATTTATAATTTATCATTGTTTAAATGTGTATAATGGTTGACACTAATAAATGTGTGCATTATGAGTACTAATAAACATTCAAAATTGTTACATGATGTATTTATTTTCACTTAAATGCCATCTTGTACAGTAGCAAATAAGTTTTTCTTTAATCGCGTATGAACCTTACGCGCACTCTTTTTTTTATAAACCAGTGAAGCTAAGAAATTTCTACAATTTAGTTATTGCAAAAATAACGCATTTTTCGATATACAGACCTATTATGATCAGCGAAGATACTAATTCCGTGACCAGTAACACTTTTGAAAGTAGATATTCTAAGATATTATCATCTTAGTAATAACTCATTCTTTCAAAGTAACGTTTAAAGTAAAATATAATTTAAAACATATATACATTGATATGAAATAATAGTTTGAAAAGTTTTTAAATAACAGTTTTTATATAATTCATATTTTTGTATTGACATGATTCAGAAAAAAAAACACTCCAAAATAAAATAATTTAATAAACACAAAATCATTGCCACAAAATTGCTTTTATAATTTTTTAATTAAGAAAAATTATTGATAAAGGATTTTGTGTTTATTTAATATATATATTTTGAGGGTTTTCTCTTGGAAAATGATATGATGATCTACATGGTGTCACAATAAGCATAAATTTATTATTAATTATAAATCGACGTATTGACTATTAAATTATAACAAAGCTTTTATGATATATATATTATTGAGCGCCCTGTCCAAAGGCAGATCCGTAATCTGTGTTATTTCTCAACTCAAAGCGGAAGATTTACGTTTCCATTTCACATCGCAGTGCCCAAATTCAAGTTGAAAGTAAAATTGGAAGTGAAATTTTAATTGGTAACTTTATATTGTTATTGTGAATTGTTGAAATAGATGCATATGTTTATCAAACCTCTGCAAATCTGGATATAGAAGACTCGTTTCTTTCTACGTCATAGCAACTGCAATCTTCTTTCAAGGTTTCAGTACTAGATTTGTCTCTTTTCTTTTTTTTCTTTTCTGGTTTGCGATACAGAAGTTTTACTTCCGGCTCCGACTTTTCCTTCCCGATATAGGTCTATCAAGAGAGAAATTAATTTCATGTTATATTTCAATTTTCAATCAAGAGTAAAATAATAAAGTCAATTGATAGTGAAGTGTAAAATCGACAATAAAAAGTATTTTTTCTAACTGGTTGAGCAGGTCTATAGTTTTCCGGTCTTATTTCTTCAATAGATCCAAGATAAACATCTCGTTCATTCCACACCTTTCGTCTACTTTTACCTCGACTGAGTATGGATGGTTTTCTTGCTTCTCCATGAGTGCAAAATATCTACATAACAAAATTGACGTTTAATTAATATGGAAATTACTACCAGGCAAATATTGTTGAAGAAAGTTAATTACCTGATCACAATAACGCATGTGAACGCTTCCTTCGCCCGCGCCGCATGTTTTTCCGAGAACATACTGCGTTGAACATGTTGACGAGGAGGCTGCTGAAGTTTCAGAACAAGAACGTACTATTTCCGAGTCGGGGTTCAGATATTTTACACGCTCGCACCTGTACTTAAAATGAATATTATTTTTTCATTTTCTCATAAGTAATCTATAATACATAAATACATTGAAAATTATATATTTTTAGAATCATTAAGGTTGAAGAAACAAGTATAAAAATTAGTGGAAAATAGTCTTGATCTCTACTACAAACTAACCTGGACCAATCCCAACTAGTATCATTCGAAAAACTTTTAAATTTTCAAAATCGATTAATTCTAAATGCCAATAATTCTAAAAAAAGCAGCTCAGCCAACAAATCAACGCAAGACCTTAAAAAATTGGAGCAGTCGTTTTTGAGAAAGTGTTGACAAATTTTAGCTCACTCACATATATTTGCAAGTAAGCCAAACACATACAACGTTTATATGCAAGTACGCATTTTTATTACCAAAGGTTCCAATAAGCCGCTCTCATGACAAATCCGCCAAGTTCATAATAAGTTGTTATAGAATTGCAAAAGTGAGCTTTCAGAGTTTGCCTTTTTCTGCGATGATATACACTCAATGTAACACATTCTACACCGCATACAGTGACCAGTTCTAAAGTTTCTGTTCTTGGATCAATGCATTTTGGAACAAAAGCATTTTTTGCTGAAGCTTTTGGTAGCAAATCAGCTGCGATAATTAGCTTCGTAGGAGTTAGCCCTATATGAACCTAGAGAAATAAAAAATTCTAGTATAATTGAGGTATTGGTAAGTTAAAATTAGTAGTAAGTGAATAATCTGCTTCAGGTGTGATTGCAATATATATTTATTGCAGCATTTTCTAGAAAAAACTAGTTTCACTTGGTATTATATTCGAGATCCACAATCTCAAATAAAAATCTAATATCACCACTGCTTGATATCCAGACAATCAAGGTGGGTATAGAACCAGGAACCAGCTGGGTGTAGCCAGCTCCAAAATACTTATTACCAAGATGTTTAATTTTGTTGATCACCTGTCTAATTCCGATTCCATTTTTCGTAGTTTCAGCAAAAGGACTTTCAACCAACACCATATCATCTAAGGATTTGTATTCTGTCATGAACAATCTCTGTATTCTGTTTATCATTTTCTTTTAACATACTGATAGGAAATTTAACCTAAATATTTATATAACTCAAGCACATATTTGGCACCGATCATGTATTATCATAAAACAGCTTTATATACTTCCAGGAATATATTAAAAATAGATTATAAAACGTGTATATAATATAAAATCATATTGAATAAATTGTAAAAACTGATAATCTGACGTTGACGTTTAAAAAATTATAAAATTATCATTTGACATATAAATCTGGTTTACTAGATTTTTTGAACAACGTTATTTGATCGTTAATAATTAAATTATTTTCAATTTTATTAAATTTTATGCCCATAAGTATGAAAAATAATTGTATTGAAATATGCATCTATTATATGAATATATCAAAAATGATATATATGAAATATTAAATAATGATTAGATGAACAAGTTGCATACACTTTAAATAAATAAATAAATAAAAAATATTGTAAGCAAAAATACATGTATGCAATTTTCATTTCAAACTCATAATATTATGCGTGTGTCCGAAGAGCCAGGTCCATAATTCAAGATGCCATATTTCGAAGCCCTGTTAATAGTTTTCTATGTTCTTCTTGACCATGAACTCCATTTGGAAGAAAATATAAGTTGCACTAAAATCGTACAAATAATTCAAGTCATCACCGAAACCCAATCAGCTCGACTCCCTACAAGTATCTTTGAATAATTTAAACTAAATAAAAAAAATTGGCCTATATATACACACAAACATAATTTTTAAATTTCGATTCAAATGAACTCAAATCGTCGAGAATATAAAATCAGCAAATCGGATTTTCTGGCGAACATAAACTTCTTCTACAAAAAGTTATAAAAACTAATACAAATAATATGATATAATCGTGCAAGCTGATACAAGTATATTGCTACCTTTGTGAAATATTTTTCAGATCGAATAACAGCGGACGTCAAAAACGTTTCCTTGAAATCCTCTTTACCGATCCAATCTTCAAAGCTTAAAGTATAATGGCGTTATTATATCTCTTCAGAGCAGATATTCCTACATATATATTGTGATAAATGAAATTTTGATCTAACAAGACTCTTCTTGATATGAATTTAATATGAAGTGTGAAGTCAATAGGACGAAAAAATGAATTTGATAACATATGAAGACTACACGTGTGGTACAGGGTATAGTCATTATATATATATATATATATATATATATATATATATATATTAAATTTTTTTATATAATTTTAATGTTGAAATATGTGATATTCACTTTTCAGGGCAATACATCAATTAAAAAATTTGTATGACTTTAAAACATTTTTATTTTTTCCATACGTTTCGACACATAGTTTTGTGTCATCTTCAGTGGACTATTGTTAAATTTAAAGTGACAAGAATTGGTTTCATTGTGCATTGTGAACAATTATAATTAGGAAATAATTAGGATTATTACAATTACATAGTCCACTGAAGATGACACAAAACTATGTGTCGAAACGTATGGAAAAAATGAAAATGTTTTAAAGTCATACAAATTTTTTGATTGATGTATTGCCCTGAAAACTGAATATCATATATATAATATCAATCAATACGATGTTTGTGTATTTTTGACAGTAACATTTTAATTTGGAGTGAATTCGAATAAGGAATATAAATCTGTATATGTATATGTATATATATATATGTATATATATATATATATATATATATATATATAGTAGTGACAACAGTTTTCACTTGGAAATATGCATAGCAATATGTTTCCAATTGAAAACAGCCCTGATACGGCATTGCTGCACCAACAAAAATCATCACTATTACAATAATTGTAATAACAAAAATTCATCACAAAGACATGAGATAACTGTTTGGGTTGCCATCTATGATAAAACAAACATAGTTGGTAAGAAATTCTTTACAACAACTCATAGGACCCATAAGTTCTGATCGTTGTTCAAATAAATAAAACAAAGAGTGACTTTTGCATTCCTAGATAACATTTTTATTTTTCAATCACTGCAGAATGCAACACAATGTATTAACAATGACTCAGTTATTTGCATATTTTGTGACTTAGAAATGAATTTTGTCGCACACTTACGAGGCTTGACCAAGGATATTTTGAACATACAATGTAGTAGCGAATGATTCACTAACAAACTACGTTGTTTATATTCTAACCGTTAGTTATCTTCTTCTTCTATATATATAAAAATAAGTCGGGTTTTCCTTCCTGACGAAATAACTCCAGAACGCACGAACCGATTTCGACAATTTTGCATTCGTTGGAAAGGTCTCGGGCTCCGCAAGGTTCATAGCTAAGAAGATTGGTGGTGCATGACATCGTGCCCTAATGCAAATTGCTGGAACTTCACGCACCGTAAATAAGAATTCGAGTAATGACATTAGTGAGAATTATCAGAATTATGCTTGGTTAAGTCAACGAGCAATTTTTGCCGCAAAGAATAATGTTGTACACGCACTGAATTTCACCATTCATTCAATCAAATATTGCTGGCGATTTGGTGACATACCAATGATTCCGACTGGCCTTCCGTTTGACTTCAAACGATTGCAATTTCCAGTTCGCCTTACGTTCGCAATAACAAGTCGCAAGGCCAATCGCTTAGTGTTTGCGGGATAAATTTTAAATAGATTATTTAGAAAATCATTGTTTTTCACATGGGCAGTTATATGTTGCCTGTTCACGAGTTGGAAAACCATCCGCTTTGTTTGTGTTAACGTCAGACCAAAAAACAAAAAATGTGGTTTACAAAGAGTACTTCAATGAAACGGATAATTTGCGGATTCGCTTTCATTTACTTAGAGAAGTTCAACGAAAAAACAATTTTTGTAATCGAAATAAAATCATTACTGTTGTATAATAAAATCAAATTTTTCCTTTTCAAATATAAAACAAACAAAAAATTTCTTCATCTTTCTCACGAAACTATCTGGTGGCGAAACGGAGTTCGTCGGGTTTGCTAGTTTATAATATTATTTAATTATATGAGTGGGTATGATGCATGCCATTTACAATATATACTAATATCTTATCAGAATTACCTGTAAGTAAATAGTGTAGTCTGGATTTCTATCACGTTACTCGTTAAATACTAATTTCGAAGAACTTTCGATTTTCCTAATGTCGTTTACCATTTCCAATTCGATCCTGATTCGATTCTAGTTACAACGAGTGATATATACGAGTCATAAAATACCGCCAACATTTATTGCGCCGTCAGTTGATTTACAATGCACGCTCCGAACAGTTTTCCTTTTATTGCGGGCCGCTCCGTCTCTTTTCGCCTCGGAAGCGACTTGCATCGCCGCCATGGGGTTACGCCGTTCGCTCGCGTTGCCAATATTCATTAATAAATTACGCGTTTATTGAGTTGTTTATTCCTGCGCTAAGACCGAGCTTTCCGATCCATATTGTGTGATTTCCATATTATGAGAGGCACGAGATTGTGCATGGAATTTATGCTATCGTAAAGTTAAAGGTTTCGAGGAGCATTGTGGTGAAATTGGACGTAAGACAGTGTTATATTCGATTTGGCGTCTCGAAATTTATATGCGCTACCAGGGAATATATTAGGTTTTAGAAAATTTTACTTTATACTATCAGGTTATGGCATTATTACTTTTTTTCAAATTGACTTGAATTTAATTTAATTGGTAATGATTTATGATTGTTATCAATATTTTGGTTACGATGTTATTGAATTAATTGAATTATGCAATTGGGATGATTGTGTTACATGATCGAGTTATGTTGGGGTTCTGCTCTATATAGTTCATGAAATTGTAATGGATCTATTTTCAAACGTCTGTCTCAGCAATTGAAATTACTTCTCTAAATTTAAACTGAAAATATTCAATAATTTAAGCAGTGACGATCTATCATTCAAACGTTGTCTTCTAATATTATATTGTATATTAAATATGCAGTAAAATAAAAAAAACGGTAACGAATCAGTTTTAAAAAGTTTATGAAACATTGGGATCATTTATACTTGTTTATCTATGATTGGGATTGAGGGATTGTACACTATGTAAAATTCTGAGTATTTAGTATATGAACAACCAATGTTTATAAATATTCAAGAGTTATATCTATATCTTAGAGGGGCCATACCCGACTCTCTTGCCAGAAGTACTCGGTTCCAGTCCTGGCACTGTCTCTGAAATACCGAATCATAATATATAAAAGAATGAGATGCCAATTCTCCGATAGCATAGACCGAAATATAGTGTTGTTATGGTAACACTATGTTACGGTCTTTTTTCATATAAATTGGTGGTAAAAACTGTCAAAATCCTATGTATTTTCTAGTCAGGCGCTATGTATTTGTAGTCAGGCGCTTTAGAAAGGTCAAAAAACAATGTTATCATAACTGCATTTTTCTGATATGCATCGATAACACGTAAGTGAAGTTAGGTTTTATGTGTAAAACACCCGATCTTACAGCAAGTACAATTGAAATTTTGACTTTTTTTACTACCAATTTATATGAAGAAAGTATGACAGACATAGCGATGCCATAACAACGCTATGTAACGGTCTATTTTTTTAAGAATTGGCTCCTGAATTTGATTAGTATTAGAAGGCAGTAAAATTATTAAGGGGGTTGTTCGGTTTTTATTTTTTTTTCGATTTTGAGATTTTTTGATATTATGAAAGCTAAAAACCTTAAAATTATTAAAAGTCATTTTCTCAAAATGACTTTTTTCAATGCGGTGCCACAAATTTAAAAAAAACTACAAGTCGGATGAACTTGCATTTTTTTCAATTTGTTCACCATTGCAATACCTAGTCCCCCTAAAAAGTTAATAGACGTAAAGACAAAGAATTATGTAGAAATTGATAATAAAAAATCAGAAAATATTATGTGACTTAATGCCAGGAATAGAGAGGCTAAGAAATATATTTGAATATATAACAGCTTCAAAGCACTTCATGCCAATACCAGGCCAAAAAATTTTTTGAAAATTTGGTTAGATCTTGGCACAGGCCA